TCATTTAATTCTAGGTTGAGGACACTTCGTATATGCATCCTACAGAGGATGCGACCTCCAGAGGATTCGACCTCCGGAGGGCGCAGCCTTCTAAATGAGACACAGCTTGTTTCTCAACGGCTCTGCTGCTGTCACCACCGTCGAGCTAGGTGGGCGTGGTTTCAGCAACCAGCTCCCGCCTCTTTGCCCATTTTCGATTATCTGGGCGTGACGCGAGGTGACGCGCTGCCAAGATGGCGACGGCCGGCTCCGCCTTCTTTAGGCTTCAAAAACGCTCTTCGGAAACCTACGGGTGACGTCACGGACATTACGTCAGTTTAACTTCAGCATTAAACACACCTGATCCAGCTAAAAATAAATAAATCTTAATAAAATACAATGTTTGTTTACTTGCAGATCAATTAATTTTTAATGTTTAACTAATCTTAATTGTTAGTGCTGGCTAATTGTTTGCGTACATTATTTGCACCTAGGGCTGCAAATAATGATTATATTGATAATTGATTACTCTATCAATTATTTTCTCATATAATAAAGGGCATTCTAATTTTTTTATGGGAAAAAATATTATTCTACATCTTCCACATCTCCAAACTTTAAGCTATGGAAACTACAATGAATGTATCTATATGTATGCTGATATGTACAATATCTTTTAATAAAGTGGCTATGGATATGTTTTTGTAAAGTGTAAAATACTTTGTTAAATGGTATAACTACAAGCACTTCAAATTAAGGCATCAGAAAGTGCTGTGTTTTCATTATAGATTTTATTCTTTTTTTTTTATCCAGATATTGATACAGTTAGGGGTTTTTGATATAAATCCATATGTTTAAAGCCTCAATTATATTGGAGACAATTAAACTGGCTTTGGCTCCGGCTCCACTCAATGGAAACTGCAAATATCTATGCAGTCATGTTCTTTCCTTCTCGGTGTAGCTCAACGGTTTTTTCTGTACTTGTTTCAATGTGCCTAGGGGCCATCAGGAGACACTGCTGTGGTTTCTTTTCTGCAGTCCACAAATGACTTTTAGAGTACTGCTTTTTTCCCACAAACTAAAATCCAATGACCACTCTTGCTCACTTTAAGACAAAAAAAACGTCCAATACAAGCGGGATGAACACTTTTATTCTCTTAGTGCAGTAAACATTTTTCTTATATATATATATATATATATATATAAACAGCATCATGAAATGGAAAAAAATTAGCACAAGACAGCTGGACATGCTTTTCCAAGTAAACGCTATCGAAATGAAAACCAATAATAAATATACACACACACACACACACACACACACACAAGAATTCGCAGTACCAAAACAGTAAGGTTACCAAAAGGTTAACGGTAACAAAAAAATAAATACAACAAACAAAAGTGGCTGTTATACAATGCAATATCGTTTAAAAATAGTAGCTCCCTCTCAGATTATAATCTGTTATAAATAAATGTCCCTCGCTCATAATCGCAGGTAATGCACCAAGTACCACTGCAGCAGGGACACAAACTCACACTGAAATTACCAAACGTACCAAATTTTCTTTGATCTCCCACTTTTTGCAAGCAGAATAATTTTACCCAAAATGGAAATTCTGTCATTTACTCAGCTGTTCCAAACCTGTATGACTTTATCATAAGAAATATAAAATTACTTTGATTTAGGAGTATTTTTTTAACCCCTAAACAAACTTTGAGCTACTTTGCAGAATGTCCAAGCTGCTCTTTTCCACACAGTGAAACTACATGGGTAGAACAAAACAATTAATAAAAGAGAACCCTCAAATAAGCCCATATGACTTCTTCATGACTATAGTTAATCGTCAAAAACATCTCATGTCAAATCTAACACAACGTAGAAAAGAGCTGCTATTACACCTTTCACAATAATTGTACAAAATAAACCATGTCTGGAACAACATTAGGGCGAGTAGACGTTTCATTTTTGGGTCAACCATTCCTTTAATAAAACAAAAGTCTGACATCAAAAGTACAAATAAATTAAAGGTTAGGTAACAAATCTCTCAGAGCGCTTGTATGTGTTCAGTCTTTTTTTGTCCCACACTGTCCAGGATAAACGCGTCTGTTTGTGCTGCTTTCCCATACTGAGAACTGCAGAGCGGCTCACTCTCGACTCTACGTGAGCTTAACTTGACTCTTCAGAAAAATAGACTTTGACCTGGTAAACATCTCAACGAACACTAATATTGCACAGTGGAAGTGACAGTGGGATTGGGGAGCTCTCGTACTCTGTATGATCTTTACAGACCGCTCTTTAAAAGTACCTGATTTCTGAAGCTCTTCGTTTTGTCTGAAGACATTCAAACATCCGCTCCACTAGGGGGCGATAACAGAAATGGCAAGCTGTGAGCAGGGGCATTTTAGAGTCATATGGGTCATGTACTGAGTCAGGGAGTTCATCTGAGTCTTAACAGAGCAGCAGTGACTCATCATCACTAGTTTCTGTTTTCGCCGTCGCCTCCACACAAACGTCCGGGATTCGTGCCGTATGGACAATTCCACAGTGTTCACAGGGGCCATCCCTACCCACCAGCCGGCCTCTGAGAGAGACCGCAGCGGGGGTCAGGTGGGGCCCGAAGGCCTGCTCCAGGCCTTGTTCCAGCAGGGGCCTGGAGCTCTCATCACTGTCCAGGGAGCCGGCGTCCGAGACGGGAATGAGGAGCTCCACGTCGTCCTCATCCTCGCCTCTAATACCGACCCCAGTGCAACCCGCACTTCCTTGCTCCAGTTGCCGCAGAGGGCTGTGATTCTGCCCAATGCCACTTGACCCTCCGTCTACAGAGCGCCCTAGAGAGAAACGAATCCAGCGCAGGCTGCGGGTGACCCGGCTTAGAGCGCTGCTGAAGAGGCTTCTTGAGAAAGTAGTGGTAGCAGTCGTAGTACATGAAGATCCAGTTACTCCAGAACTTTCTGAGATGCTCTCAGAGATGCTGCTCTCCCGGCTGACGAGTGGAGCTGAGCTGGCAGATACCGAGACGATGGCCTCCACGGCTGTTGTAGGGGGAGTTTTCTGCGGCAGTGGGGCCATCAGGCCTCCAACAGCTCCTGGGACATCCCTGCGGGGATGCTGCTCACTCTCAGTGTCCGTATCATCAGAGTCCAAGGGCAAGAGTCCACGGTGAGAGCCAAGCCTCTCCGGCTCACGAGCGGAGGCGTTGCCATCAGGACCCTCTTCTGTGTCCGCAGACACCAGTGCGAGAGAACCAGAGCGCCGTGAACGTGTGAAATTGAACAGGCGTCTCCAGATGTTGCCGTGGCGCCCTGTGGTGGGGAGTCGGATTGAGGTGAATCCCAGCTGAGAGCGAACTGCCAGTCTTAGGTTTTCTAAAACAGATGCCTGAAAGCAAGAACAATAGGGAGTGTTACCCAAGGTCAGCCATCATGCTTCATATTCTCTGGGAATTTTTCAAGGTCAGTCAGACAGCACCTTGATGCAAGTTTACCAAGCCTACTATAGAGAAGGCTTGGCTCATAAATTTTTCAATTAACCAATACGCCAACAAAAATTTTGACCAGTGGTTTTCAATCCTGTTCCTCGGGACCCACTGCTCTGCACATTTTGCATGTCTCCCTTATCTGACACACTCATTTGAGTTCATGGAGCTCTTTCCTAATGAGCTGATGATCTGAATCAGGTGTGTAAATTAGGGAGACATGCAAAATGTGCAGAACTGTGGGTCCCCAGGAACAAGTTTGAAAACCACTGATATAGACAATGGTGAGCTAATGACATTTTGAGAAAAACTACTCACTATGCAAGATATCTATTTAAAACCAACACAAACCCCTGAAACTTCAAATCAAAAGAGCAAAACGTAGCTTCTTGGATATGTCTAAACATTTTAGTTACTGCCCAAACATGGAAGGGTAAAAGACAGTTTTTTGTCACAAAAAACAAAGAACGGATGATTGGGCCTTAACTACATAACTATGTAGTCTTCTTACCTGGTTTCCAGAGCAGACAGGAAAATCTTCCACTGGGGGAATCAGTCCTTGAGCAATCAGCTGCCCATACGATGGAGGAGCTTCTCTCCTCAGTAACTCGGCTTCCACTCTAGAGAGCTGAGTCTCAAATGACCTGGAAGAACAACCAACCCATTCATTGGTAGTTGATGAGAGTAGTCACAGAAGCATAAACTGATAAAACGAGTTTCCAGAGCAGACAGGAAAATCTTCCACTGGGGGAATCAGTCCTTGAGCAATCAGCTGCCCATACGATGGAGGAGCTTCTCTCCTCAGTAACTCGGCTTCCACTCTAGAGAGCTGAGTCTCAAATGACCTGGAAGATCAACCAACCCATTCATTGTTAGTTGATGAGAGTAGTCACAGAAGCATAAACTGATAAAACTAATAAATTAGGGCTGTTGGTTTAATACGTTAATCTAATTAATTAATAATGGAAAATAATAACACAAATTTTTTTTATGCAATTAACGTACACACCCCACCCTATGCATGTCATCTTATCTATTCAGTTTATTGGTGACACGTACGTGATGCCATGCATCAACTCACCACATGATGTAGCCTAAAAAATGCAGTTATATGCCCCTAAAATTCAAGAGATTGGGGGAACATGCCCCTGTATGAGATTGTCTCATATTTATATCATATGATATCAGTGTTTTCCATACATTGATTTATTTGTGGCACCCTGCCACAATATCAAAACTGACCGCCACAAATAGATTTTCCAAAAGGCTTTGACTTCGTTGAATAACCATGCACGTTTCAAAATCAAAATGCGGGGCGGGTGTTAAAAAGAATGTATATTGGAAGGGAACCGACTGTCTTCAGAAAAGTTTTGATGTCATTTTCATTTCATCTTTCCTATAATGCCTGATAAAGTATCATTCTGCTGGCAGAGAATGAATTAGCATTTTCAATCAGCCTCTCTGCTGTTTTCGTTCAGACCAACACGGAAATCGACTGATGTTTTTATGCAGTAAACATGTATACATATCCTGCAGGGGAAGTGCCACCACAGAGTGCAAGTCTGTGGGAAACACTGGATATAGCTAAGCAATATCACACAAGTGCTGAATAGTACGAGTAAAAATGTGGTATTGATTTTATACAACAGTTCAATAAATAAGAACTTAATATTGTGTTATATTTCAGACACAATATTGTCTGTTTTGCTCAGTTTTGCCAACGCAAATATTACCTATTAAAGCGACAGAACTGTTGTGTATCTCCAAGCAACACACAATTTCTGAATGAATCCGTGTTTTGAATGAATCGGGTGAACCAATGATTCAATGGCCCATTCATAAAGAGAGCCATTTACTTAATTCCTAAATTAATCAGCTGTTTGAAAGAATCAAATGAATGAATGACTCAATGACTTACTCATTAAGACATTTACTGCCACCTACTGGCAGTTTTAGTTCCTTATTTAATTATAATTTAATTAAAAAACAATATCATAGTTACGTATTAATAAAAAATAAAAAAATGAAAAAATCCATATTAATAAAAACTAATTAAAGAGACAGTTCACCCAAAAAAGAAAAAAAAAAAAAAAAAACTTTCTAAAGCTACTTTTCGTAATATCCATTTCATGCCTTTCTCATGTAACAATAGTGGTTTAAATAATCTTTTGTGGGTAATTTCTCGGCCGAATTTGAAGTGCGATAAGATTAATTAATGGCCACATCGTGTAATTAATTAGATTAAACATTTTAATCGATTGACAGCCCTATAATAAATATTTTTCCTGAACAATCCATTTCTGTTTTAGCTCTAGTCTGGCGAAGTGGCTTCACTTACCTGCGCTCAAACATTCTGAGTGAGTAGAGTTTGCATGTGCAGCCCAAAGCAATGACCAGCAGCAGGCCGCAGATCAGACTCCCAATTACAGCGGCAGTGATGACACGTGTGGGTACGATTACCGGGCAGCTCTCCTCATCGCTTCCGTCCCCGCAGTCGTCTTGAGCGTCACACACCCAGCTTTCAAAAACACAGCGGTTGTTCTTGCAGTGGAAGTTTCCAGGTTGGCAGAAAAAGCAGTTCTTCTCATCAGAGCCGTTCGGGCAGCGGTTCTGGTAGTTGCACCGGTCAGAGCGTGGGTAGCAAGCACCGTTTCGTGAGCATGGGAACTCGTCTTCCTGGCAGTTGCTGCAGTTGAGCTCGTCCCTGCCATTGGGACAGTGCCAGTAGCCGTCACAGCGCTGTTGTTCATTGTAGCATCCCCAGTTCCCTCCACACGGGATTTCCCACGGCAGGCAGAAACCGTCTACTTGATACGTAACGTTAAAGCCTCGAGCCGCATTGATTTTGTCAGCATAAAAGTGTATCCGAAGCTGTCCTGAAGAGGACACCACCGCTACAGGGGCTCGAGAGTCGAACGCAGTCAACACACGCAACAGACGCCTGGGGTTCTCCTCTAGTCCATCGTAGACTTTAACATAATCGCCATAGCCTGTGCCGTCCAGCTTGAAGTCCATAAAGCGCAGGATAACCTTACGGTGGTCACCGGTGTCGATCAGCCAGGTGCAGTTACTGCCAGGCGGATAGAAGTCAGGATAGTTGGGCGAGCTGAAAGTACCGTAGAAATTGCGCAGCCATTCGCCACAGGTGGGCACGTCACAGTCGATTTCGTCCCCCAAGTCCTGACAGTCAATGCTGCCGTCGCATTTGAGCGACTCCGGCAAACAGGTGTAAACGCGGGTGTAGCGTGAGAGACAAGGGAACTGGTTGAAGCCGCAAGGCTGGAAGGAGAAGAACGCGGACGGATTAGGCTGTACACACAGCTCCTCGTCTGAGTTATCGCCACATTCATCCATGGTGTTGCACTCCCATGACTCTGGGATACACTTTCCATTAGCGCAGTGGAACTGCTCAGGCTTGCAGCTGGCTTCTTCCGATTTCCCTACAAATTACACAAAGATATTACCCATTTAAATAGACATGTAATGTTTTATGAATGAGTTTTTGGAAGGATTTCAGAGGTTTCTGCAAGTTTTATAAAAGATAATTTAAGACTTTGTGTTTTTAAGACCAAATAAAGAAAATTTAAAAAGGAACTATGTGTTGTCTAAATGTAAGACTAAAGAAAATGCAATGAGTTGTATTAGCAGCACTTCAATGTTTGAAAATACAACTTTCAATTTTACAAACCAAAACTGCTTAGCTAGAATATGAAAATAACTTTTACTGTACCTTCTAAACCATTTCTAAGGTCTTGTTTTCTGAGAAATGTATCGAAATGAAGTGAATTTGATTAAAAAGGTAAAATATCTGCCAATAGGCTCAGAAAAATCTGATTTAAAAAAAATACTGCCCAGTCCTGCAGATTTGCTTTATTCACCATCAAGAAGATCAGGCCCTTTCTTTGGGAACATGCTTCACAACTCCTTGTTCAAGCTCTTGTTCTGTCCAGGCTAGACTATTGCAATGCTCTCTTGGCGGGTCTTCCAGTCAGTTCTATCAAACCTTTACAATTAATCCAGAACGTGGCAGCAAGATTAATTAATGAGCCGAAAAGAATGCACATAACACCTCTGTTAATCAATTTGCACTGTAGCTGCTCGCATAAAATTCAAGGCATTGATGTTTGCCTACAAAACCACCACTGGCTCTGCACCCCTTTACCAATATTTATTACTTCAGACTTATGTGCCCTCTAGAAGCTTGCGTTCTGCAAGTGAGCGTCGCTTTATTGTGCCATCCAAAAGAGGCACAAAATCACTTTCACAGACTTTTAAATTAAATGTTCCCTCCTGGTGGAATGACCTGCCCAAATCAATCCGAAAAGCTGAGTCCTTAGCCATCTTCAAGAATCGGCTAAAAACACATCTCATCCATCTTTATTTGACCCTCTAACTCTAGCACTCTCTATTCTTAAAAAAAAACAACAACAAAAAACACTTGTCCCTTTTAGACTTGCACTCTATTCATAGTTTATTGAAAAACTAACACTAGCTTTTCTAATCTTTTTGTATTCTATCTATGTTTTGTTTTAATTTATTATACAATTAACAAGCAAAAAAGGCCTCTAACACTAGCTTGCTCTATTCTTTTTCCATTCTATCCGTTTTCTTTTTATTATATAATAAAAAAAAAAACCTTGCTACGTGTACTGCGTTAAGCTAACTGAGACTTGTTATAGCACTTGCATATCATTGCTCTTTTGTTGATTTTGATTGCTTCCATTGCCCTCATTTGTAAGTCGCTTTTGGATAAAAGCGTCTGCTAAATGACTATGTAAATGTAAAAATCAGCTTCATTCAAACTTCATTCAATTTCTCAGAAAACAAGGCCTTAATAAGTTCAATTTGCATCTCAAGTAAATGCATATTGATTTAAGGATGTTTAGATATTTGCACTGGAAAACAAATATACTGACAACGATTTTTCTTTTTTTGCAGTGCTTGCAACATTTTAATGCTATAACTTTAGAAATGTAAGACTTTCTGCTCCAATATAAGACCTTTTAAGGCCCTAATTTGTTTAAGGGCAAATTAGGACTTTTTAAAACCCTGAGGATGATTGTAACGTGCAACAACAAAAAGTAAGTACAAGTTTTATATCTATAGTCAGCACAAAACAGCCCAAGTGCCTATAAAATTCTGGTATCTAAACATGACTTGCTTCCTTTATTCAAGTCTGCGAGATCTAATCCCATTTTATCATTGGCCAGTTTTTCCAAAACCTTCTAGACTAAATTTAAGGAATGACAACAGTGATGCTTGCCTTAGAAAGAAACCAATTCAAGAATGACGTTAATGTGTTCTTGAAAAGCAGGTAATTTTTCGGTAACCAAATACAATTTGGGAGTGAGAGAATTTACGAGTGTTGCATGGCAATGTGGGACATCTACGTAACTGCATCCTCTCGGATACAGCTGTATCTAAAGGGATATAAATAGCAGGTCTACCTGTTATGTAAGACAGCCTGAAGCCTTTTCCAGTCATGCTGTCATCAGAGTGGAACTTGATCCACACGTGATCCTGAGAGGAGATGTATGGGGCCGGAATAGACGAGCCACAGGCCCGGTACCCATCCAGGTTCTTGTAGGTTCCAATGGAGATCCAGTCCAAACCACATCGGTGTGAGCTCTGAATTTCAAAGTCCTGAAAACTAAAAGTACCACCGGTTTTAAGTAAGCCTGAAGCCTTTTCCAGTCATGCTGTCATCAGAGTGGAACTTGATCCACACGTGATCCTGAGAGGAGATGTAGGGGGCCGGAATAGACGAGCCACAGGCCCGGTACCCATCCAGGTTCTTGTAGGTTCCAATGGAGATCCAGTCCAAACCACATCGGTGTGAGCTCTGAATTTCAAAGTCCTGAAAACTAAAAAGAACAACCGATTTTAAGTACAGGAACATTGGGTATGGGCACGTCACAGTATGAAAAACAGCATCCCTGTCATCAGAGTTAATTCAAATTAGGCACACGATTGCGTCTTGTTGCATGACATGCCTCGAAGTGAACATTAATAGATCAAGACTTGAATGTGTATTGTTATAAAGAAGTACCAACTAAGAAATGATGCAGAGAAAAGCTCCACCAAACTAAATACCTATAAAAAGAAAGGTATACTTGTGGTACACGCGTCTCGCTGAAAACTGAACCAATCATCTTTTTAAGACAGTTCCCATTTGCAGAATTAGCGAGTTGCTGCGTTTACCACAAAAATCACATCCCGTGGAAAAAATACCCATTTGGTCTATTTCTGTGCCAGTAACCATGGACCCCATTCTAGGATAAAGATGCAAACAAACACTCTGGTTGAAGCAAACAGGCAGCGCAAGAATAGAGCAGATGCGGAACATAAAAATAGAAATAGAAAAAAGCTTTCAAAGGGAGTTTGAGGTGCCAGCAGCTTGAAAAAACCCACAGAATTATTCCTTTAAACCAAGACAGAACTCAAAATACAATAGAAATGACCAAAAAAACAGATCCCCAAAGTTTTGCATCTGCATCTAAAGAGACAGATTGTTTTAGCAAATGCAGTTGCGTGCATTGGTACAGAGAATCAGACTCCACCACCACCGCAGGAATTTATAGTCAGTATAACCACAACTCTTAAGCCTGTAATTAAGGCAAACTGTGACGAACATCTTTATTCTTGATCAGCTCTTGACTGCATCAGTGGAAGGGCAAATATTGCAGTATTGTGGCAAGGTGTTACCTGATGGTGATGATCTCTCCAGGGTTGGCCCTGATGTTCCAGCTGCAGTTGATGCGAGAAGGGTATTCAAAGGGCCAGCCAGGGCTGGTTATCACTCCACTGGACGCCCTTATCTGCTCCGCTACATCGCCACAGGCTGGAGAAGACCACAAAAACAAAGGTTAAGACCCTGCATGCACATTTCAACACATAATGGGTGATTAAGACCAGAATATCAACTTGCATAATAATTAAGCACGCACTGTTTTTGCTCACTCAGTTTTTTTATCTCTACAATGAGAAATAATGTTTTGAAATGCTTATAGGTCACTAATTTTTGGAAACAAGCTAGTGAGTGGATACTGGTCAAAGAAATATGAACACCAAAATAGTGAATTATTATAAAAACATTTCTGATGTACACTAATAATAGTTGCAGAACTCCCCCTCAAAGCAATTCTGGAAATACAACAGGCCTGCTAATGAAATGGGGTGGATGAAAGAGTAGCAAGTAATCATTCAGTTAACAGTTAGGCAAGAGGTAACATGTGCAGACTAATCTGGGCTAAATATCATGAGCATTTATATGTCTTACATTCCTTTGATCTGCAGAGGCACATACAGTTCCCTACAAGCTGTGTTTGAGGACTTCAGAAACTACTGAGGAGCTCCATTTAACAGTCATCCACACAGAGTCTATTTTGCTCTGAAGATTAACTAGATCTATAGCTTGGGTCTGTAAACCAAACCTGAAGTCAGGACTCACCGTTTGACATGCCTGATACATAAACGTTCTCGCTGTGCTGCGATGAAACGGTGTTTCCTGTAAAAACAGAAAAACATTTTTCTAATGAATGAAGATGCATGACACTACTCTGCTGCAGAAAGCAATATGTGTAGATGAAAACCTAAAGGGGGCAAGGAGCTGATCCATTAAACTTAATCTGGTGTGCAGCAGGGCTCTGAACACCAAGGGTTGAAATTTCATCCACAGTTGGACGCAAGTAGGAACAATGTGGAGTCATTATCAAACCGATACTAAAATAGCCCATTTGTGTGTGACAAACTGACCCAGAATGCTTCCCGCATTGTTGCGAAATTTGGTTCAAACGCCCACAACAATTCAGAAGACACAAAGCTTCACTTCAAAATCAGAATGGAAAGGGAACGCTGAACCTACATTGTAATTAAGCCAACAGCATAACCAACGCTGCTTGCCATGCATTTTAATGCATTTAAGAGATCAAGTCATGAACATCAGGTCTGCATAACCCTCGGCTAATATTTTAACTTGTTCTGACTGATCGAAGCCACGGTTCATCCAAACCTTTTCAACTGCTAAACTTGAAAGATAATGCTAGAAAATCTCAAACCGCTTACTTACCAACAAAGTGATTGGATTAAATCTTGGCTTAAGGCCCATTCACCCCAAGAAAGATAGCCAAGAAAGATAGCTATAAAGATAACGATATTAGCGTCCACACCAGCGGACGATATCACTAAAATAGCCCATTTGTGTGTGACAAACTGACCCAGAATGCTTCCCGCATTGTTGCGAAATTTGGTTCAAACGCCCACAACAATTCAGAAGACACAAAGCTTCACTTCAAAATCAGAATGGAAAGGGAACGCTGAACCTACATTGTAATTAAGCCAACAGCATAACCAACGCTGCTTGCCATGCATTTTAATGCATTTAAGAGATCAAGTCATGAACATCAGGTCTGCATAACCCTCGGCTAATATTTTAACTTGTTCTGACTGATCGAAGCCACGGTTCATCCAAACCTTTTCAACTGCTAAACTTGAAAGATAATGCTAGAAAATCTCAAACCGCTTACTTATCAACAAAGTGATTGGATTAAATCTTGGCTTAAGGCCCATTCACCCCAAGAAAGATAACTATAAAGATAACGATATTAGCGTCCACACCAGCGGACGATATCGTCTGTTTATTCTAAGCACACGCTCGTCTGCCGCTTTAAATTCTCGAGCTCGTTACAGCAGGATGGATTCTGATTGGCTGCCAATGTTTTTATCGTTCATCGGCTGGAAAAAAACATTCTGAAAGTGATTCCAACGATATCGTTTCTCTGTGCCTTTATCGTTATAGCTGTGGTGTGGACTCTGCTATTCTTTTGAGAACGATTTTTAGAACTATATCTTTATCATTATCATTATGGTCCTTGGTGTGAACGGGCCTGTAGTCTTGTATGGCCATTAGGGTTGTGTATTGGCAAGAATCTGGCGATACGATACGTATCACGATACAAGGGTTGCGACACGATATGTTGCGATATTGTGAGCAAGGCGATATATAGGGATGTGTCTTATTTTAGGAATAGGATATATTTTTAGGAAAGCAGTCACCACCATATGCAAAACTAACTAACTAACTAACTAACTAACTAACTAAAGAAATATTATTTAACCAGAACACAGTAGGATTTGCATTGGCCAAAATATGCTAACAAATTCAATTTGTATTTTCATATAAATTTCAAATTTTACGAGGGAGGTCTGAAGGGAGTAACTTCACTATAATCGAGAGACACTGACTGGGGCAATTGCTATAGTAAATAAGTGGTGTCTGCTTAGTATTTTGGCATGTTCTAGTACGTCACCTTCAGCCAAAATCCAACATCAATACAATCTAATAGCCACATAACATGACCTAATAGAACTGAGGGCATTAGCAGTTAAATCTCTGACTATGTCCCAATGGCATAGTACTCTTCTATTTTTTCAGTATTCTATAGGCAAGCTATTCACAATAGACTACTTTTCTTTATGCACAACCACAGAAAACCCCAACGATAGCCCTGAAGGGCATGTATTGTTTGAGCTGGCTGATCATCTGTTGGGGTTTCCCTCACTTATGTCGGTTTGCTTACAGCAGCTGGCTGCATGACACATGCAAACACAGGCATGCAAACCTGGCCGCTGCCACACAACAAATGTAGAACAACTGATGGACACGGTGGGTATTTCAGCTTGCCTTTATCAATAGGTCAGTTGTGATGTTACAAGCAACAGATCTGACAATTGGAACAGATGCACTGGTCTTTACAATACTTCACAAGCAATTAAAAAGACAATTTATGAAATTACAAAAAAAAAAAAAAAATTCTAACTTTGGGTTTTGGAGGGGAACTATAGAAATAAATTATTATTGTTATTAAATAATCAACTGCAAGAATAGGATGGCCAGGGGTCAGTGAAAGGCAGTCGCTTGCTTGATGCTGCAACTTAAGTTTGTTGATTTTGCACTGCCTGTATCTGCATTTTTTTGTTGTGAATTGTGCTGATACGAATGTGACCCAGGTAATGTTATCCAGCCGGGTAACATGAGGTTTTTGTCAAAATGGTTAGAAATTAATTCAGATAATGCTGGAAGCACTTAGAATGAATTTTTCCAGAAAATATGCAATTGTGCATCCTTATTGTTGAGCAGAAGATTGTATGATATTATATGGACGGTTAGAAAGAGGGAATTTTCGAAACTAAATTAAAAGTGAAAGGAAGGGGGACAAAAAAACAAAAACAGAATTCCCCAAAACATTTACGACTGAAAATTCCCTATCAGGTCAAATAAAGAGAGGTGGAGGGGAAATAAATGAGAGAACGAAGGGCAAAAGATTAATTTGTTTTCAGTCAAGATGATGGGATTCTATCACAGATAGACATGCGTAAACAATAGAAGTCTTTGTTCCCTTCATTCACCCTGATCTCAAACACACAGGCCATGTTATTTCATTCACTCTACATGTTTAAAGTGTGTCTGAGAGTTTCACTACGATTCTGTGGCAGTAATTAAATCAACCCCCATTTAGCCATTAGAGAAACCACAATGTATATGAATACCAGCACACTATATTTCACACAGCAGCAGCACCATTGAAATATCACTACTCTGTGATTTCGCATTAAAAATCAATAGTGTTTAGCATTAAAGACACACAAACGCAATTTTTCATAACCAGCAACAATTTTAACATACAAGTTGATTTCATGATATATTGAGCAGCGAAATAATGTGTCTTACCCATGAAAAGTAGATGTGTCCATAGCAAACAGATCTTGTTTAAGCTCAAAGTGTAGTCCATAATAGCTTTAAGCGTTAAAATGTGCTACTCTGTAGCTTAAGTATCGTTATTTGTACACAATATCCGTGTTTGTTCTATAGGCGAATATTACCAGAGACACTAGTTGTTCAACATTTCCTTTAGTTTCCTACCCCTATCTTAATAAAACACTGATGTAACAGTCAAACGAACGTCTTAGATAAACGATAGTACGATATAAACAATAAAAATCAATAAGACTGAATTAAAAAAAACAAATTTTCCTCAATAAAAATCAAAGCGATTGATAGTGTTCTCAACAAAGGACTCGCTAATGCTAACAGGCTAATGCTAATGTCAACCTACACTGCTAATCTAACCTACAATTATCAAACTCAGCGATTCATTTAATGAACCTCTGAGTCCCGATGCACATTTAACTAATTAGTAAAACAGCTAAATCCTTTCCGATGTCCATCACTGATTGGTTTCAAAATAAAACATCTAAAGGCACCGGTGTTTTGATTGACTAGCCGGCTAAGCTAGCGCTTTTGTTGTTAGCTCGCGAGCTCCTGTAAAACACACACAAAAGCCTGTCCTTAAAAGCCTGAGACGAGAACAACGCTAATCTATCGATGATCCGACGTGAAAGCGCTAATTCCGAGAGTTTAAAGGTGTTAAACAGCCCTAATCCAGACAAATATAGCCACACACTGATCTACAGCATGATGACACGAGCTAAAGTCTGTCCGAATCAAATGCTGGAAATACAACTAGACATCAGGCTTAATCGACAGCATGATCGTCTGCTCCTCTGACTGTAATCCACACGCCAAATTTTGGCCTTTCCGATCGGTTATGTGTGTTGTTACAGCCGGGTATTTACCACCACAAACCACCCCTTCCTCCTCTAACCATCCCTCTCTCTCCGCCCTTTCTCTCTCTCTCTCTCTCTCTCTCTCTCTCTCTCTCTCTCTCTCTCTCTCTCGACCCAGGTAATGTTATCCAGCCGGGTAACATGAGGTTTTTGTCAAAATGGTTAGAAATTAATTCAGATAATGCTGGAAGCACTTAGAATGAATTTTTCCAGAAAATATGCAATTGTGCATCCTTATTGTTGAGCAGAAGATTGTATGATATTATATGGACGGTTAGAAAGAGGGAATTTTCGAAACTAAATTAAAAGTGAAAGGAAGGGGGACAAAAAAACAAAAACAGAATTCCCCAAAACATTTACGACTGAAAATTCCCTATCAGGTCAAATAAAGAGAGGTGGAGGGGAAATAAATGAGAGAACGAAGGGCAAAAGATTAATTTGTTTTCAGTCAAGATGATGGGATTCAATCACAGATAGACATGCGTAAACAATAGAAGTCTTTGTTCCCTTCATTCACCCTGATCTCAAACACACAGGCCATGTTATTTCATTCACTCTACATGTTTAAAGTGTGTCTGAGAGTTTCACTACGATTCTGTGGCAGTAATTAAATCAACCCCCATTTAGCCATTAGAGAAACCACAATGTATATGAATACCAGCACACTATATTTCACACAGCAGCAGCACCATTGAAATATCACTACTCTGTGATTTCGCATTAAAAATCAATAGTGTTTAGCATTAAAGACACACAAACGCAATTTTTCATAACCAGCAACAATTTTAACATACAAGTTGATTTCATGATATATTGAGCAGCGAAATAATGTGTCTTACCCATGAAAAGTAGATGTGTCCATAGCAAACAGATCTTGTTTAAGCTCAAAGTGTAGTCCATAATAGCTTTAAGCGTTAAAATGTGCTACTCTGTAGCTTAAGTATCGTTATTTGTACACAATATCCGTGTTTGTTCTATAGACCAGAGACACCAGAGACACTAGTTGTTCAACATTTCCTTTAGTTTCCTACCCCTATCTTAATAAAACACTGTCAAACGAATCAAACGAACGTCTTAGATAAACGATAGTACGATATAAACAATAAAAATCAATAAGACTGAATTAAAAAAAACAAATTTTCCTCAATAAAAATCAAAGCGATTGATAGTGTTCTCAACAAAGGACTCGCTAATGCTAATGTCAACCTACACTGCTAATCTAACCTACAATTATCAAACTCAGCGATTCATTTAATGAACCTCTGAGTCCCGATGCACATTTAACTAATTAGTAAAACAGCTAAATCCTTTCCGATGTCCATCACTGATTGGTTTCAAAATAAAACATGAGCTCCTGTAAAACGCACACAAAAGCCTGTCCTTAAAAGCCTGAGACGAGAACAACGCTAATCTATCGATGATCCGACGTGAAAGCGCTAATTCCGAGAGTTTAAAGGTGTTAAACAGCCCTAATCCAGACAAATATAGCCACACACTGATCTACAGCATGATGACACGAGCTAAAGTCTGTCCGAATCAAATGCTGGAAATACAACTAGACATCAGGCTTAATCGACAGCATGATCGTCTGCTCCTCTGACTGTAATCCACACGCCAAATTTTGGCCTTTCCGATCGGTTATGTGTGTTGTTACAGCCGGGTATTTACCACCACAAACCACCCCTTCCTCCTCTAACCATCCCTCTCTCTCCGCCCTTTCTCTCTCTCTCTCTCTCTCTCTCTCTCTCTCTCTCTCTCTCTCTCTCTCTC